GAGGTGACCGTCTTTTTTTCCGGGCTGTTATCTGGGGACCTTGAGGTGACCGTCTTTTTCCTGGGCAGGTGCCAAGTGGGCAGGATGTGCCCAAGCAGGCCCGCCTGGGACAGCAGCAGCTGCAGCCACGGCTGTGCGTGGGGCCAGGGTCAAGGCAAAGGGGCACTGGTTTAGGTGGACCTTGACTCACAGCCAAGAGGAAATGAGATGTCATGGTTGTTCTTCATTCCTCTGCACTCGGCTTCCTCCCCAGGCCCTGCCTTGGGAGGGGCCCTGTGGCAGCAGCCAGACCTGGGCAAGCCACAGCCTAGTCTCTCATGGGCTGGGGGGCCTGGACAAGTAATTTAGTTGGTCTATAAGTTCTTCAAAAACCCCTGGGCAGTGTGGTTGAGTGGGGAGGTGCAGGTGAGGGCACAGGTGGCCAGGGGCTGAGTGCTCCCCGAGTTTCGGGGATGGTGTCCAAGAAGGCTCAGTGAGGCTCCGATGTCTGTGTGGCCCCTCGGGCTGCTTGAGGTGTGGTGTGGAAAGGCAAGCCGCCCCCTGCCGCTCACACAGACCTGGGCCCGGGGGCCACCTTGGGGCCCCTGCTATTGCACCCCCGAAGGCTGATGCTGGCTGGACCAGGCGGGATCATGGGATCAGGGAGGCCTGTTTCTGGCTTGGACAACAGGGTGGGCAGTGGGGCCCTTTCCTAGCAATTGGCAAACTGGGGAGAAAGAAATTGAGGGTGATGCTGCTCCCCAAAACACACAGGGAAAACAATACGTCATGGCTGGTTCCAATTTCTGTCACATTGATGATCGTAGCGTGGTGTTCACATACAGGTATCGGCACCAGGCCCTCTCTGACCCTATTTCCATATACGCAAGATGGGGTGCTCATAGTATGTGTCCAGGCAGCGACCAGGCGGAGGGAGCAGCGAGGGCAAAGCCTGGGGAGCGCTCCTAGGCTCACCAAGAGCCAGGGCAGGAGGCTGGGCTGGGCTGACCAAGGGGTGCACCTAGGAGAGCCCCAGTGGAGACACTGCTGAGCAGGGGCCCAGATCATCCAAATGTGTCCACCCCCCTCTCACCCCATGGCAGGGGCCCGAGTGGGGGAAGGGCAGGGCAAATGGGGGAGGGGCCTCGGTAGCCTGAGGCAACCTGTGGCCCTGGCAGTGGCTTTGGGAGCAGACAGCTGGCCGGGGCCCTGCACCCTCATGCACACGTGCGGAGGCCTGGGAGCCAGCTCAGCTGCAGGTGTCCCTCTTCTGCTGGGGGGCAGGGCCTGGTCCTGGCAGGGGCAAGGCCCTCAGCCCTCCCAGTGCTAGGAACATAGGTGTACAATCTTTTTCAGACCCTGCTTTTAATTCGTGGGGGTATTCATGCAGAAGTGGAATTGCAGAATCCTATGGTAGATCTGCTTAATTTTTTGAGGGCCCTCCACATGCTTCCACAGTGGCTGCACCATTTTCCATTCCCGCCAACAGTGCACAGGATTCAGATTTCTCCACACCTTTGCCAATTCTTTTTCTTATTTTTTGGTTTTCGTTTATGTTCGCTATCCTAATGATTGTGAAACCTTGCTGTGGTGTCGATGTGCATTTCAAAACGACTGGTGGCTTTGATCATCTTTCCTTGTGCTCATTGGCCGTTTGTATGACTCCCCAATATTTATGGTCGCCACTGATGCTGTAGGAACTTGGTGCCACAGCCTCTGCCTCCAGTACCTGTTCCCACCTGCACTTTAGCCTCTGCCGCCTCCAGTGTCATTTTGAGAACTTGTGATGCCACTCTGTGCCGTGATCCCCTCACCCTTCCTGGCAAAGAGGCCAGAATCCCACGCTCCGAGGTCCCGGGGCCACAATGGCTGCAGCAGACACCGTCCTGCCTAAAACCTGTCGGCAGTCACACTGGGCTCCTCGAGGAGTTTCAATAGAGGGAATGTTTACAAAGATGTGGGCAGGATTTAGGGGAACCCACAAAGGATAGTAAAGTGCACAGGCTTCTAACCACAATGGGGACACACCTAGAGCTGAAGGGACAAGGGGCGAGCGGTGATAGAACCCCGAAAGGGCAGCTGTGCAGACAGGGCCGCCTGAAGGAGCTGCGCCCCCATAGAGGGAAGCCGCCTGGGAACCAAGAATAAGACCTGACTTCTCTCTCCTACCCTCACGGGGCCCTGCCCCTGCTGGGGCCTCCCCGACCCCCCCTCCACCCCCTATCACCCCAGCAGGAAGGCAGAGAGCCAGGGGAGCCGGGAGCCGTGCTGCGGCCTCCTCCTGAGGGTCAGCCTGCTGGAGGCCAGCAAGGTGGAGAAGGGGGAGAGCGGACCAGAAGGGGAAATGGAAGACATCCACACCTTCTTATGATTATTTTGCATCATTAAGGTTGCTTTTTGCAATCAAATACATGGCCGACAGTGGCTAATAAGAGGGACCTGCTTTTCTCAGATGAGTGCACACAGCAGAGATCTGGAGGCTGCAATTGCCGGCCTCCACTCAGCAGCTCGGGATGGGGTCGCTCCCGGCCAGGGTCCCGGTGGTGGGTCGCTCCCGGCCAGGGTCTCTGTCTTTCTTCTCTGATCTCAAGCGGCGGCCAAAGTGGGCCGGGGCTGGGTTCTCCTCACCCCCCTTCGTTTCCACTGGCTTCGGGCGGCCAAAGTGGGCCGGGGCTGGGTTCTCCTCACCCCCCTTCGTTTCCACTGGCTTCTAGCAATCAGAGTTCTACCCCCTGAGAGCTGGATGGGGTGACCCTCCACGGGACCCTCGGTGTGGAGAGAAAGGAGGGGATGGATGTAGGCACTGATATTGGCTGTCACTCTAACAAAATGACCGCCTGCTCCCAGGCTGTGCTCACCTCACGGTTTGGTTGGAATGGGGCAGGGGCTGGGGACCAAAGGAATTGCTCAAAGTGAAAAACACATCACCAGACACCACACATCTCTCTGCGGGGCCGGCGGGCCTTCTGAGGCTACATCCTCCCATTCTCCTCGGCTGAGGGTTTACGGGCAACAGACCTGAGAGCCGGTGACAGGCTGCATCTGCTTTCTGCTCTGGAAAAGTCCCTGAGTCTAGAAAAATACAAATGGCTTGGCTACCTGCTTGGAATGAGTGAAGGGGGAAAAAGCTCCAGCAAATGTTACTATTTCAATAAATTACCCTGGCCTGGAATTTAAATATGGATTCCTGATGCTCAACCCAGGCCAACACTCAGCCAGGACACCCCTGGGTGGCCACACAAAGCCAGTGAAAACACCAAAAAGCTTCAGACCCCGTTAGGCAACAGCGGCTGCCCCACTCCCTATGTCCCCAAAGTTTGGCAGCGTTAGCCCTTAGCACAGAGTGGGCTCAGGCCTCAGGAGCCCATCTGAGCTGAGCTGTGGCCACTGTTCATGGTCAGAGCTCTGCTCAACTGGTGGTTAAACATTTTTAATATCCTCCTGCAGTGAGCACACAACCCTGAAAAAACCCCAATTTACAAATCAAAGTCGAAACTTCAAAGCCACTCAAGTTCAAATCTGGACTGGTGTCACTTCCTGCTCCCCTGACCGCCTTCTCCCCCCGGACCAGGGACCGTGACCACAGGCCCCAGAGGTGCTGGGAGAGTCCACCCGCCAAGTTTGTCTTTTCAAAGCTTCTCATCAGCGAGGCCCACACAGGCCTGTCTCCAGCAGCAGCGTCCCCAGTCCCTCTTCCCAGTTATCGGACATCAGGACATTATTTCTTTTCCTTTCAATTTTATTTTGCACTAGAGGCCTGGTGCACAAAATTCGTGCACTCGGGGTGGGGGTCCCTCAGCCGGCCTGCGCCCACTCCCGTGGGCCTAAGCTGTCAGTAGGACATCCTTAGCGCTGCTGCAGAGGTGGGAGAGGCTCCGCCACCCCCACTGCGCTCACCAGCTGTGAGTCCGGCTTCTGGCTGAGCGGCACTCCCTCTGTGGGAGCACATTGACCACCAGGGCCAGCTCCTGCATTGAACATCTGCCCCCTGGTGGTCAGTCAGTGTCATAGCAACCACTCATTCTGCCATTTGGTTGATTTGCATATTAGCCTTTTATTATATAGGATGGTTTCAGGTGTACATACAGCTTAGTGGTTAGACCATCATATACTTTACATGGTGTTCCCCACTATATTTCCAGTACTCACCTGGCACCATACATAGTTATAATATTATTGACCATATTTCCTATGCTGTACTTTACATCCCCATGGCTATTCTGTAACAACCAATCTCTACTTCTTTTTATTGTTAACAGTGTTACAGATGTCTCCCATGTTCTCCCTTTTTGCCCCCCTCCGCCCAACCCCTACCCTGCCCCAGGTCTTCCCCATGCTCATGTCTGTGTCCATGGGTTATGCATATATGCATATATGTTCTGTGGTTAATCTCTTCCATTCCCCTCCTCCCAGCCACCCCCCCAATCTGTACTTCTTCATCCCTTCACCTCTTTCACCCAGTCCCCTAACTTCCTTCCTGTCTGGCACCATCAGTCTGTTCTCTGTATCTATGAGTCTGTTTCTATGTTGGTTGGTTGGTTTTTTTTTTAGATTCCACATGTGAGAGCATATGGTACTGGTCTTTCTCTGACTGACTTATTTCACTTGGTGTAATACCCTTGAGGTCCATCCAAGCTGTCACAAATGGTGAGATTTTATTTTTTTATGGCCAAGTAATATTCCATTGTATATATGTACCACAGCTTTTTTATCCACCATCTATTGACAGGCACTTGGGTTGCCTTCATATCTTGGCTATTGTAAATAACGCCACAAAAAGCATTATATTCTTATTTGTTTTAGTACCTGTCTCTCCCTGGGGTCTGGGACCCCCGAGGGCAAGGGTGGCGCATGCTCTGTTCCTGTGGGTGCCTGGCCCAGGGAGAGGAGGAGCCTACAGAAGCCATTCCGCCTCCACTTATGGCAGGTGCACACACACGCCTGTCCTTCTCTCGTTGTTCTGTGACAATTACATCACTTATCTTCTGTTTCCTCAGCACATCCTTTAAAGGTGTGGAATCAAAGCCTCATTTTATGAGACAAAAGCTTTATGTGAGGAATAGTTCCTTACATTGTGAATTATCACAGAAGAGAATTCGTGGAACCCAGTGGTAGACATGGATGGCCAGCAACTGTGACCTGCTGGCGGCCACCGTGGGGCGACTCCTTAGGCCCCCGCACACCCTCACACCCGCCCTGAAGCTGCTTGGCTGGGCTGGTTTCAAGGGGGCCCCTGGGTAACCCAGAATATCTGTACAAGACTTGATCTCTGAGGAGGGATGCATTGAACACTCTGCTGAGGACCTGCAGCCTGCGTTTACGGGACTGGAGGCCTCCCGGCGACAACCAGTTGGGCTTCTTTGCGTGAATTCTTCGATCCCTGGTGGGATGCTGGCCTTGCCCGCAGCGCCCTGGGGGTGCCTGGTGTTGCCAAGTCTAATGGGTGACGTTGGGCAGGGCAGCTGCCCCTTTCCCAGGGGCTGGCATGTCCCAGGCTGAGAGCCATCCTGGCTGCCAGAGGGGCTTGGCCCCCACTTATCGCCAAGGTCCCCAGAGAACAGGGCGGGTGGCTCTCCGGCTTCTCTGACTGGGCAGGGCCAGGGGGGTGAGGGGCCCCAGGGGACATAAAAGGGAGCCCTCACCCAGGCACTGCACATTCCCACACGGAGCAACATGGCCTTCCTCTGGTTCCTCTCCTGCTTCGCCCTCGTGGAAGCCGCCTTCGGTGAGTGTGTGTATGGGGGGCAGCCAGGCCTGGGAGGAGGCGGGGAGAAGGTCCCTAAGTCCCCAGTGACCCCAGGGACAGAGGGGCTCTGTCCGGAGCAAACCCTAGGGCCTGGCCAACAGGGAGCTGTGAGTCCCCTTCCCTGCACCTTCAGGCCTGGACAGGGAGAGGCAGGCGGAGGCTGTAGGGAGCAGAGGGTTTCTGGGGCTGAGTCTCACGGCCTCATGCCCTGCACCCTCACTCCCTGCACCGGCGGGAGGAAAAGTCCAGCCGGGACTGCACGGAGGGCTGAGGCCCCAGAAGCGGCCCAGGCTGGTGCTGTGGGCAGAGTAAGGTGTGGTCACAGACACCCCCCAAGGCGGAGGCCCGGGTTCTTTATTCATGTTCAGGCACTTGCTAACGTTTTATTTTCTATTTTAACAAACGAAGAAATCATTAAAAATACAGAAAATTCTATGACAACCCTGCACCATCAGGGTTTAGCAAAAGTTACCCCTTTAGCAGATTTCTTTGAGGTATTTCTTATAAAACACCCACTAGATTCAGCGAGAGCCCCCTCTGCCTCCTCCCGCCTCCCCTTGGCCGGTGAAGCCGCACCTGAACTTGCTGTGTCTCAGTTGTGTGCGGGTTTTTACAAATTACTACATATTTATAAATCCACGAAGTATAACCTTCGTGAAAACTTACATAAACGGCAGGACCCTCCGTGCCAGTTTTACCTTTTCCCACCCACAAAATGTTGTAGATTTGTCCCCATGGAGTGGGGCTCACTCATTTTAACCCCGTGAAATGCTCAGCTGTGTAAATACATCCCCGGGTGCTGCTAATCCTGTTTGCTGAGACAAGAACTGGATGATTATGACATGTTTGGGCAGTAACGACCTTCAGTGAGGGGCTGGTCCACCGCCCTGTTCCACGGGCAGGAGGGGCAGGCGGCCTGCTGGGCCGTCGGGGTCACAGGTTGCCGCACCGGCTCCCAGGGGAGAACGTGCAGGTCCTGCCCCAGGTGTGCCATGGTCACATTGAGCACCTGTCTCTTCTCATTCT